CGCGCACGACTCTTCCGCGCAGCGGCACTTCCGCGCAACGATATTTTCGCGCACGACACTTACGCGTGCGACACTTGCGCGCAAAATGATTTTTTTCTGCGCTTGACTTCGTTCTGGGTTGGATATGACTATGGATGTGGCTTAGGAAATAGATGCTGGCCGTGCGTGTGGATGTGAGGGTTAAGTATTACCCTAGTCTCAATTCTGACCATTCTTTGAGAAATCCTGAACGAATCTTTCAGGATCCTGGACTTCAAGGATCTTGTCAGGTTTTCTTCAAGATACTGCCGCAGTTCTTGATAATTCGTTTTTCCAGGGTTTCGCACGCGGTCAAGAAAAGTAAGCTCCAAACTGCGTAGACTCCAAATTGCGAAAAGTCTAAATTTGAAGCTCATTTTCTTCTCAGTCCCTCTGCTATGGTTCATAGAACCACCTAGAATGCTAGTAGCATTTTCTGGGATGCTACTGGCATTTCCTCGAATACTAATAGCATCGCCTGAGATGCTAGAGCCATAACCTGTGATGCTGATAGCGTTCCTTGGGATGCTAGTGGCATTCAGTGGGATGCTTGAAGCATTCCCTGGGATCCCAGTAGCATTCCCTGGGTTGCTGTAAGCATTTCCTGGGCTGTTAGAAGCATTCGCTTTGACGCTAGTAGCATTCCATGGAATCCTATTCGCATTCCCTGTGATGCTGGTAGCATTCCCTGAAGTGCTATTAGCATTCTCTGTGATGCTAGAAGCATTTCCTAGGTTGCTAAAAGCATTCTCTATGATGCTGGAAGCATTTCCTGGGACGCTAGAGCTATTACTGGGGATCATAGAGACATCTTCTTGGATGCCAGAGGCATTACCTACGGCGCTAGTAGCATTTTGCGTCGGGCTCATAGCATCGCAGGCAATGCCTGTAGCATCACAGGTGGTGCCCATAGCAGCCGAGAGAATTGATATTAGCATCCTAGGCAATGTTAGTGGGATCCCAGGAAATGTCTCTGGCATCCAAGGTAATGCTATCAGTACTCTTGGTGGTGCTACAAATCATAACAGAAGGATTGAGAAGAAAATTGAGCTCCAAATTTGGAGTTTACATGCGGAGCTCACTTTTATTGGCTTTCGCACGTTTAGGCAGGGACCTATTTATGATCTATCCAGGTTTCTATCAAGATATTTTTCGAAATCATGAATGCAAGATCCTACAAGGATTCAAGCTTAATCCTGCTGAGTATCTTTACAGGAATAATAGAGATGATTCTTTCAAGATTTCTTGCACTTCGGATGGAATCTGTTCAGAATCCTGATTGGATCCTGCTAGGAATCTTACCAGAATCTTGAAATTGTGTGGCTATACGCTTCTTTCAGGATTTAGTCGTTTCCTCAGGAAAAAAACAGCGAATTCTTGAAGGATCCTGATTGGATTCGTTAAGGATCAGACATAGAAACATCAAAGATTTTCCCTAGGGTAGTGAAGATGCATGAAGGATTGTCTTGAACTGCTACTCTCCCATCGCAGTGACACTCACCTTCCGCCATCATCACATTCAAACCCAAACGAAGACTCATTTCATGAAAAGAAATCATTTTGCGCGCAAATGTCATGCGCGAAAATGTCGTGTAATCGTATTTTTACCACTGATAAAGGAGTATGCATAGCTCATATTCATAAGGGAAACGTTGTCAAAAATTGTATTGAAATAGTATAACTAACTTCAACAAAAAAATATAACATTGTCCGAGTTATGAAAAAGACAATATATTTATTTTCTTAGCCAAGAGTAAACGACATCTAATTTTTTTCGATTACTTCTTCACAGTAGTGTCATTTGGTGTCATTCTTATACTACAGATATATGTCTTGTTGCTCAGTGTACTTTGCAAGTTTCAACCATTGACAAAATTGCAATATTGGTTTTTCATAACTCGTGGAAAGCTACAGTTTTTTGTTGAAGTTAGTTATACTATTTCAAAATAATTTTTGACAACGTTTCCCTTATGAATATGAATTATGCATACTCCTTTATCAGTGGTAAAAATATCAGCCCATTTGGTCAAAATATGGCGAAGATATGTATTCAAACTTTTCTTTGTGGAGTTACTTTCTGGACACCCTATCTAATTAGGTCATGTAATTGATGATTTATTTTAGAGAAAAATGAAATAAAAGCACGTATTTCCTTACTCATTACTATAACTATTAAATACTACAACAGTTCTCTTTTTTCCTTTTAACTCTCTTATTGATTCAAAGTATCGCTAACAACTAAGTAGGAAAAAAACGAAAAATCCGGAGAAATCATGAGAAAATGTTGAAAATCAGCTCCTAAAATCAGGAGATTTTTTTATCAGAAGAAAAGTCCAAAAATCAGGAGTCTCCTGGCTAAATCAGGAGATTTGGTAACCCTGATTTTAATGTGTAAAATACATGAAAGATTGTTATCTACCATTGTTCAATGTTAGTTGTGCATAATTCAGTAAAAGTTTCAATGCTACCAGAAGGATTCTTCGAGGAACATTACATTCATAAAAATTAAGGGTAACGAGAGACGTACCAGGAAATGAGACAATTATCATGAATGAGCAGAAAATTATTGCTTCACTTGACAAAATAGTACTTCATTCGTATGTTTTCTATGAAAACTTTCTTGTGAAACATTATTTGTAACGAGTATACAAATAGAAGCTGCTTTAGAAGTCAGTCAGCAGACTTTGATTACGAGTAACTTTTGATAGAAACAAAACAGAGACATGCAATCCTCATCATTATATAAAGCAACATTTGGAGCATCTACCTGTCTAGTATTTATTAGTTCTCAAGAAGAATTCAATTGTTGTTTGAAACATATATATTTTTTTGAACTCAGGTATATTTTCGAAGAAAATAGTGAGTGTAAGTTTTAAGTTTGAGGTTTGCCGGCTCCCTCTCCTTCCCACCCCATTACAGACACTTAGCAACGGGAAAGAGAACATTACAGACAATAGCCCCCATTACAGACAGGTCACCATTACAGACTTTAGCAACCGCGCACAAAAGGTTTAAGATTCTGTGTAGTATTCTAATGCATTTATAATTATTTAAAAAAAATGTCTTTTTTGAGTTTATAAATAGTGCATTAGGATTACAATTTGGAAGGATATACGTGAGTTCCACATTTCAGCTCCAAAGGAGCTGCGCTGCCAAGCTTTTATTGCCCATTTTAACTTATTTTCATTGTAATCCTATTTCATTTTCTACGAAAAGTTGTTCGATGCATGTTTTGTTGGTGGTACAGTCTTCTCATCTTTCTATCAGTGTCTCCAGCTCATACTTTAAGAATACTAATTGGAAGATCTGAGTATTTTAATTTTAAACGGTATTCGTTGGCTATATTTTGACGAAACTTGAGCGAAATTTACAATAAAAGTCCTTGAAAATGGACAGTAAAATAGATATAAATTTTAAACACCTGTCGAAATCTTCCACCAAACTAATGAATTATTTATATGTGGACATCGTCAATATTTTTCCATCTAATGGAGAAAAATCAGTAGTACCTTTTCATCTCTCTTCTGTCGAAAGCTACACGCAAACAAAGACCACTAGATAAGTTTTGGACCAAATTACACGCTAAGAAGATTGGTTTAATGCTGAACTTTTCTAAGTTCTGCAGTCGTTACGAAACCGAAAATGGTCTTTGATCTTGACATACGCACGAAATTTTCTTAAGATCTGCGCGACAAAAAAGGATTTTATATCAAATATAGGAAATCGTTCATGTTTAATACGATTTCTTTAGAGTTTAATCGGATTCTCTAAGTTTTCATATCACATCTTGATTGTTCCGTAATGAATCTGAATCGTTTCGAGTTTTTGATGCAAAAACTTTTTTGTAACACGGATCTTAAAAAGGCTTCGTATCATAGGCTTCATGTGCGTGTTCCGTGTGTACACAACGAAAAATGTCATCACAGCCTATCACACAGACTAGAATAGATAAAATGTGAAACACATGGTATCATCAAGAATAGTGCGACAAATGTTGGGTTCTCAGAGCTCCTTGTAGACAATGACAGACGCTTTGACCTGATATTTTGATTCTGTTACAGACTCTAGAGATATGCCGAAGATGTCACTTTATCATCATAGAGTGGACAGACATTTTATACATGCTCACTCTTTTGCGTTGTCTTCATCGTAACATATGTAGCGTAATTTCTCCTTTATTATGTTCACATGTTAATCATATAGATATTGTATTGAAAGCTATAGTATAATATAAAATGGAATAGACATGAACAGAGCAAGACAAACCGCATTCTTGGTTACATGAGTAGGTATGTGACAGTTCCATATTAGCTCGTGGAACAGAAGTCTGTGCATAGATCAACGTGTATGAGCCTAGTTGAACTGTCACAAACCTATCTATGAGAAAAGTGCGAAAGAATTCTTACTATCATATATTTTAGAATACAACTTATTAGTGATAAAATGAACAATCGACCTGTCATTGAGCGTGATTATGAACACAAATTTAGTGCTTCAGCATTTGTCAACTATTACTATTCTGTTAACAATACAAATCCACCATCAATCTACTTTGAATTTTTTTCATCGACAGTCTTAAAAATATTGCAAAAATATCGCTATAAGTTCAGTCAACGTAACGATCATAGTAAAGTCTTGGAATTTGGTGGTGGTCCCAATCTATGGCCATCATTTCTTTTGGCTCAATATTTTGATGAAATATGGTTTTGTGATTATACGCCAGCTAATTTGCAAGCTGTTCGAGATTGGATCAATCATGCTCCAAGTGCACACAACTGGACACTCTATTTCACGGCCATATGTCCAAAAGATGTTGATGAAAAACAATGGGAAAATAAACTTCGTTTAGCTGTCAGCAAAGATCGGATATTTCGATGTGATGTTAATGATCCTGATACACTAATACAATGGAAAGAACAGCAACAACCACCGCTATTTGATATTATATTTAGTAGCCTTACATTCGAAGCTGCATGCCTTTCGATCGATCATTTTATTCAAACAATTAAACGTTTATGGAATATGTTAAGGCCGGGTGGTATGATGTTAGTATGTTCTACTAAAAATGAAACAAATTATATGGTTGGCAATGAAATATTTCCCTGTATACAGCTTAATGAAGAAAATGTTACAGAAGCATTTCTCAGCAATGATTTACCAAAACCAGAAATTATTGTGGAACATAATATAGCAAGCGAAATCATATGCAAAGGAAGTCAGCTTAATGGATTAATGGTTTATTATGTTTTCAAGCAGTAGTTCACTCTTTTTTTAAAAACTTATTATTTATATACTTATGAGTGATAAGCAAAATACTGTAATGCTTAGATATAAAAATTGAAATTTTTAACAGGAAAACTTCAACATTTATTAAAAAATACAGATTGATGTTGGTTCTATTGTGCATGTAGTAGCTAGAAGTATGTATCAATACTGTGCTGCAATTTATTGTAATTCAAAACTAACAGACAGGACTCAATAAATCAGCCTCGTCGTATTGTCAATTTTTCTCATACTCTTTGACTTTTAAGCGCTAGCTAGGGTGTGGGTGTGGGTGGATGTGGGCATGGCTGTTGGTGCAGGTGTAGTAAGAAAGACTCATATCCATATGCACATCCACACCTACACACACCACCCACACTTCACATCCGCATACAGAGCCACGCCCACATACACCCATTTCCACACCCGCACTCCACGCCCACACCTACACTCACACCTACACCCACACACCCACACACCCACACACCCACACCCATACACACACCCATACTCACACTTATACCCACACCCACCAAACCACCCATCCTCACCCGCACCCGCACCCACACCCGCACCCGCACCCACACCCGCACCCGCACCCGCACCCTTCCTTCTTGTTTGTATTTTTGTATGACACTATCAGAGCTTCTGGCCAGTGTTAAATAGGCCGTATTTGAAAGAATGTTAGGATTAAATCCATGATGGAACTATCATACCTTAAACCATATTCACACCCATACCTACACTTCATGCATCAAACCCCACCCACTCCCACACCCACACACGCAACAGTATCTTCTCTCATGTCACAAAAAAATACTCGAATCAGTTACCGATATTTTATGAAACTTGAGAATATACGATGAAAAACAAAAATATTTTCAAAAAATCTCGAAACTTAACATTTATTTAACTGTATGATGAGTTTTAATTGAAGATTCTAGATTCATACTCACAGAGTACAGTTTTCGAAGCTCAAGAAACACGTATGCGTAGTTTGTCACTGTAGTTGGACAATATATGAAGATTGGAAGAGATGTAAAGCAAGGACCTAGGAAATCATTAATGCTGGAGCATCATCATTTTCTAGTGCTCTGGGTGCACTATCGAATCATAAGAAAATAAAACTGCTTTAAACTTATGAATGTTCATTACGATCGAAAAATACGTAGCACCTTTTCAGGCCTAGAAGTGTTTCAACGAATTCGTCATTCCTGTAGATATGTGCGGTCATTATCTTTTGTGCAATTGTCTTATGATTCTTTTAACGACTTCACATCTTTTCGGACGATAAAAGCAAATAAAGTTTGAACGACTTTTTTCTACGTCAGAATTTATAAAACTATTCACAACCATTCACTGCAAATGCTTTATGAAAAAGGTGAGTTTACAGGGATGAATCTATCCTACTCATTTCGTGCGGAACTCCGAAACAACTTTGTCAACAGTAAAATAATTGCTATGATAAGAAAATAATAGTATGCAAGCTCAATGGTACAACTGGAAGAAAGAAAAATCTCCTAAATAATGATGATGAAGAATTTCTGCTATATAGAAAGCAACTTCATAAAGGCTTACTTTTACTCGATGTGTTATATTGCAATTGCGCGTAATGACGACAAGGATGACACTATCTTGTGTTGACGCTTTCGTATGGAACAGAAAAAAATCATCAATTTATTTAGATACATACGTAGGTGAATAATTTCGCCTTGTGTGTATTCACCTATATTAATTAAATTGTTTATCATTATAAATTATGAAAATACGCTTTTGTCATCAGAATATGTTACCTATTTTTCTTACTACTCTGATCACTCGTCAATCGAACAAATTAAAGAGTGGAAAATAAGCAGGAATGAAGGTAGGAAAAACTGCTTGCTATACCATGATTTCATTTGTTTTTTTCACAACGTCACACAGCATTGAAAATATACATGACGTCTTGCAAACCATGTAAGGAAAGCTAGTAGTCGATTGGGTTTTTCTTTTAGATGTGGGTGTGTGGCTAAATGTGTGTGAGTATCGGTATGAATCTTCTGCTAATTCCCGAATCTACATCCACATCCGAACTAAACCCAAAGTCACAGCCTCGCCTACGCATACCCACACCCACACTCACATTTGCTGTACCTTATACTTTAACACTTCTTTTCAACCGTGTTACACAAAATACTAAAACTATAGCGTATAGTCAAGGAATACAAACTGACTTCTGATGCTAGAAATCAATACAGCTCGTTACGGATTCGTAAAGATTTCTATAAATGTTCAAAAACGAGCAGAAACCTTTGGAAATAAGAGAAATTATCGTAAATCATCGATAGCAAAGTGAAAAGTAAAGTCCTGTTTCGAATGACTTTTATTGACTTTAGTATATCTAGAGTTCACCATGGATTTGTCATAGTTGTTTGTCTGGCTACTAAGAGTTTTTGATGATTAGTATTAGTTTTCGACCAATAGGTGAAGATTTATTTTCACTTGCCTATCTTACCATAAACCAAAGAAATAAAGAAACCAGTTTATGCACTCTTGTGAATTTGAGCAGTTGCGTTATTTGATTATGCACTCGCAGCCAACTATTCTATAACATTTAGAAGGGCCTGTTTTTAATTAATCAATGCTACTTTCTTTTTCGTATCTATTTTATGTATTTTCTCAATTATTTGCTTTGCGTTACATTATTGTATTAGTTTAGTTTGTTATATTTTCGCTTTGTGCTTGAGAATGAGAATCAATACTTTTTATGAAAACAATTTTTTTACTTATTATTAATTTCTTAACTACTATTCGTAGTGATTAATTATGGGCGGCCAATTTGCATTCGATTATTTTGCATTTGACCAACTTTCTCTTTCCCTATGTATGCATATAAATAGTATTAATAATGAAAAGATTCGCAATTTAGGTTCTAAATTTTAGCAGAATATCATGTTTACAGTAGTCATTTAATTGTTTTTGATTAGTCGCTACCTTTTTATTTTAGATAAGATTAAAGTCATTCAAATGGTTTCAGCTTGAAACCAGTCACGAAGTGGTCGAGTACGATGATCACTTGCTGTTGCATGTCCAAATAGGCGTTGAAGCATGGCTTGAAATTGTAATGTTAAGCGCTCCTAAATTATAGAAAATCATCCCGTTGATTGATTAACTATTCAGATTTTGCGAAACATGTTTGATAAATGTTGAAATGTTTTTGCAAAAAGAAAGAAATTCCCCTTCAAACTCATCCCACAAGCCGCATCATATATTTTTAAAAAATCTGTATATTGTTGCAGGTCGTGATAGACACTTGAATATGCTTGACTTTTGGTTTTCCTCAAGATCTATGACAACACATAGCAAGAGCTCTGTTTACGATTAAGATGACTCTATCATCTTCACATTTTCATCCAACATAAATCCCTAAGTAGAAGAATGGAATCCCGTTTGGTCTTCATTAATACTGATTAAAAAGCTAGTTAATGCAGCCCTTTTGGGGCTGAAATGTGGAATTCACATATGACCTCTGGCATCATTAAACTAATACAAAACATGTAAAGTCATAAAGCTCCCGCAGACTATAGTCTTTTTTGTAGGATAATCGAAAATCAGAGTAAGTACTTTTCTGATTTCTGGATTTCAACGAAGACTTTCTTTTTTCTACGGGCGTCCTATTTATATTTTACATTGTTGCTGTTCTCTCATAATTTTTTATTTTTTTTTGCATTCATTCTTCTTAGTTTAACATTCTTATTATTAGAATCATTGAATTAATGGACAAATTAGTCGGTTTTTCAGATTCATGACTGCAAAAACTTGATCTTAAAACGTACAATTACTATTTTCTTCGAAAATAGATGTGATTTTCACAAGATAACACACAAAATGCAAGAAATACTAAACAAGTCTCGTTGGAACACTGTGAAAACGACGAAAAGCTTGAATTTTTAGCGTTCCCACGCCTCTTTGTTGTAAATATTTGAAACAAGGCGTGTGAAGGCTAAAAGCTAGAAATTTCAGTGTTTTAATGTATTTTTCAACACTTTTCTGCTTGACTGTATGAAATAGAGTAAATTCATAGTGGAAGAGTGAAAAGATCTTTTTAGTTTACAATTCCTAGGACTAGTGGTAAACGGAAATCGAAATCTAATATGAAAATATTTTCTCTTCAATAAAACGATGCCACGTTTTTTATGCGAGACAGCATTTTAAGAGGTCACCTTAAAGCTTAATTGCTAAGGTACCATAACTGCCTCATGTGTAATGCAAAATGCTGCGATTCTAGTTGGGATATTCGTCTCATGTATAAGATGATTTCAACTGGACCGCGAAAATCGTTTGACCTAATTACGACTTTATCTTTATTTTCATGGCTTTGGTTAAGGAATCCTCTTCAACCATAGTTTTGACTATTCCTCTCTCTTGACATCCTTTCTTTAATATTTAACAGCTAGGTGATTTATAAAAAGATAATCATAGCAAGTCGAATTTTTGTTCACATAAACTCGTATTATTTGATTCATCAAGAGACTAGTAAGATTCATTGGATGCCAATTACTTGACCATAAACTGACGGAACACAGATTATTGTCAGACGATAAGTTCTTAATCGTTATTTGTGTATTCATTTGATATTCGTTCCTTTTTCTAGCAGACTATATCTTTTGGTCTAAAAACGTAATTTGAACTATACTGATTGTTTCACATTTCTTCTAAAATTGAAGACTTTATTAGATTAATTCTGACGTATTTACTGAGAGTTATCGACGTTTTAAAGTTTTTTCTAAAACACAATTCCAATGGAGTTCTTTGTCTTAGTGTAAAACTTGGATTCTGTTAATGTAGAATTCCCTCAATCTTGGTTTAATTTTGCCGGTTTAGACTGTGTATTCTAGCGAGAATATTAGAATGTTTATCAGCGAGTACCTAATGATCTACATATATATATCTCATAATACATGATATTTTTGAGTAATATTATCACTGAGATTGTGCTCTCAATAACTGCTTCAGCT